ATGTTCTCTCGGGAGTGCGGGTAAGAAGTTGGCCATCCCTGCTACTGTTGCGGGAAGTTCAAGGTATCGGACGGTGCGGTGTATGCGCGGGAAACGACGGTTGCCATAGGGAAGGGAAGCGAGGTAATCAGGATAGAGAGTGGAAAGGGTACGAAGCACGACCGCGCAGAACCGCTCGTGGTCAGTACACACAGTGATAGTTCCCGTGATTGTGCAGTAAACTTCGATCACATAATGATCCCGCCATGCGCCGATGAAAAGAAGGATGTGAAGGCAAAAGGAGGAAAAGACGCACTGAGTGGTGGGATGTGGGTATATTGTGGCGGCGAGGCGGGTGGTGTAGAACTGGTAGAACAGGGAGGAGGGAAAAGGATTCTGGGAAAAGACGAGTGGGGTGTCTATTTGCGAGAGCGTAAGGTAATCAAGGGGACAACGAGATAATGACCAGGGACGTAGCCCGATGCCCCGCATCGGCACGTGCTCGAACTGAGGGACGGGGGGAGGGGGAGGGGGATCGGCTTCATCGCCTCCGTGTCGGCACGTTCGAAGCCTCTGCGGCGCAGCGCTCATCTTCCTCCGTTGGCGGCTCCGGATCTCTGGTTGGATCGTCCAGAATCGGCAAATCAGTTCCCGCCGCCTGTTCCAACGTCCACTTTCCCTCCGCGATTTCTGCCCGGCGTCGCTCGGCTGCAGCAGGGTCCTCTTCCTGTGTTCCCACCTGTCTCGTCTCCTCTTCCTCGCTTTCATCCTCCACCTCTTCACTTATCGCCCCCGACTCATGCTCATTGTGCTCGCTGTAATACTCGTCCTCTTCGGGGGTGTCCTCCAATTCGTCTCCCTCTTCCTCTTCCTCTTCTTCTAACGTCCACTCCCCTTGATCCACGAAGAGAAGGCCGACTTTCTCCGCGGGGTTCAGGTAGTTACCGTGTGACGGGTAACTACGGTTATCCCAATCGCCCTCCAAGCATGCGGACCACTGTAGATATGGCATCAGAGTACGCAAGAGAATATGCGGCGCCGGACTCTCGTCACAGTGCGAGACGATGTCGATTGGCAAATCGTCCAGCAGCTGCGTCAAGAGGATCAAGAGTTCCCCAACGATTGGCTGTCGATGTCCCGCCTCCACCAATCCAAAGACGAATCCCAATAAATCCCCTTCCACCGCCGTTCTCCACGCCTGCATAATGAGCAATTCCACGTCCTCGTTCGCGACGGGGTGGATGTTGTCTCTAGTCCACGTCAGCCTGATCTCGACTAAGCACAGAGATAGCGCCTCATAAGTTTGCCACCACCCTTGCCACTGTTCAGACTTGATGAGAGGGACCGTCAGTGGTTGTACTCGGAAAGAGAGACGAGGGAAAAGCGCTGACTGCCAGAAAACAGGGAAGGCATAGGGGAGGCTGAAGGTGGAGAACCTGTGATGGTTCATTGAGGACGCGAGAAGACGGTAAGTGCAGGGAAAGATATTGCGGGATTCCGCCGGAGAGTGCGGATGCCATCCAGGTCAATACTGTTAGTATTGACCACGTTATCCCCCCGTTGTGCAAGCAGCTAATTCCAGGAACTTGTCAACTCCTCCCCCCAATCTCGCAGCGAGACGAGGATGCTTGGATGCGCTCGCGGATCCACCGTAGTGATGTCTCCGCTAAAGGAGACAATCGTCAAGACGTGGCTGGTCCCTGGTGCCGAGAGCCGCAGAAAGGCCGATGCTTCGGCCAACACCTGTGTCTTGTTGTTGGGTATCACGAATAGGAACTCTGTCGCTGCATGCACGCTGGCCATGCTGAAAAACTGGGCAAATCGGAGGACGTCCGGGATGACACGCGGATGATAAACTTGCCTGATCGCCGAGATGTGTCCTCGTTGTCGAGCGCATCGGTCCGGCACCGCACGAGGCAGCGCAGGACCCTCCCAGCCACGTGACGCAGGAGTTGGTCTAAATCCTCGTCGCAAATTATAAATGGAGCTTCCGAAAGCCGCTCCGGTCGAGTGCGCCAGCCATACCTCTCGCGAGCCCCTACAACAGGATAGGGCCTACGCGAGGCACGACTTACCTCCACCTTACGGGAGTTGTCACCTCCCTTCGGTGGGCGTATCCCCGCC